TGGTTTCCATACTCTTAAGCGTGTTAGCCGCCAATGAGTGTGAAAAAGAAAAAAAAATGTGAAAAAGAAAGAAAAAATGTGCAAAAGAAAGAAAAGAAAAAAATGTGTGAAAAAGAAAAAAAAGGGATTCTTTGATTGAGGGGGAGCCTCCGCATTTACTCAACAAATACCCCGTGATTCCTAGTGGTTTGACTTTTCACTGTATTGTTGAGTTACTCTTGATGGAGGTCCAGCCATCCGATCACTACTAGGATTAACTCTAGCTCAGTGACCTCTCATGGATTGCACACACACACTTTTTATGTGAGCTCTCATATTGGTTTTTGGGTTGTACATTCTCATGTAGCTTATGATCATTGATTATATTTTATCTGCTTTGCTCCTGATTTCCAGTGTCGTTTTTTTAAAAAATTGCAAGTTCACAAGATTCATGAATTGCGGATTATTTCATCTTAGTATTCACTTGGCTCAGTATGATCATCTATTTTTTGTTTCAGGTCTCACCTCTTGATTTTGAGTATAGTGTTGTTTTAAAAAAAAAAAAATTGTTTTTTTTCTCTCTTGGCTCGAGCAACAATTGCCTCGCTCGAGCGTGCTTTTGCCACTGCATTAGACCTGAGCACATGCTTTTTTGGCTCGACCGACCCTTTCTTAGCTCAAGCGACCGCCTGGGCATTTTTATCTCTCGCTCGAGCGATAAAGTCTTCGCTCGAGCGACCGTTCGCGGTTCAAATTCTGAATCTGTGCCTATTCAGTTCATCTTTTCCCCCCCTTCGTCTTTTCTCTCTCTGTCTCCCCTAGGGTTTTTCGTGGTTCTCTTTGCTGCGATCGTCTGCGATTTTCCCTCTTGATTTCGGAGTTTTTTTTCTTCCTCTTCTCTCTCCGTTTCTGGTAAGTTTTTTTTCTTTTCTTCTCTGTATTTATTTTTTTTTTCGTATGTTACTTGGGTTGAGTTGTGGTTGTAGTGGTTCTTTGTTAGGCTCTAGGTTTGATTTTTGTTGGTTGTGGGTCTTCCCTCTAATTTTCGAGCCTCACTCTTGCATCTAGTGGTTCGTGAGTTTGTCTCTTGCACTCTCCAGTGTGCTTAGGGTTTACCATTGGGGGTTTGTAAGGGTTTAACATTGGGGATTTTATTTACATATACATATATTGCCATTATGTGATTGTAATCTGTTTTTCTCTCTATTGTTTCAAACATTGATGTTTCGATTCTATAATGGCTGTAATATCTTGTTTTCTCTGTGGCTGATTGTTTGTCTCTTTAGCACTGCTCTTCATTTCATTTTCTTTTATGCTAATGTTACGAATTTCACTGCTTTTCTAACCCCTGTTAGACTAATTTGTTTTGACTGACTCTTTGTGTTTTGTTTTGGGGGTTGGGAGTTCTGGTGCAGGTAATGATGATCCCCTTGCCGAGGAGGAGGAGTTTGAGGCCGCCAATGCCGGTGCCCCTGATCTTCCTGAGCTACGTCCTCGCTCATTTCGTGGCCAGCTACAGCACTTTGAGCAGTCTGTTACACGTCGCCTTGATCTTTTGGCTACACGTCTTGATGCTTTTGATGGCCGCCTTGATGAGCAGAGTGCCGTGCTTGCTCAGATTCTTTCTCTTCTTCAGTTGCAGCAGCCACCATCGTCTCCTTCTTAGCTTTTGGCATATGCTTCTATTGGACAGTTTTTGTTCTTACTCTGGATAGTTTTTTATGCTATATCTGCCTGTTGTTGTTTTTGGGTCACTCCCGGACAAAAAGGGGGAGTAGTTTTGGTACTCATGATTTCTTCTTGCAGATGAGCATTTGGACGTTTATATGATGTGGCTATTATTGATATGGATCTTGGGGGCTATATGTTTTATCTATATGTTTTTGTGTTATATCTTGATGGTTTGTTTTGATATGTTACTTTTCAGGTTTGATGGAGTTAGCTTTGATTATAGGTTTTTCTCAAGTTTGGTTTATTGGTTCAAGATGTTAGTTCCAGTTTGTTTTGAGATTGGTTGTATAGTTGGTTTGCCTTGAGTTGTAATAGTTTTAGCTAGTTCGTTTGCTTTAAGTTGTAATCGTTTTAGCTAGTTTCTTTGTTTAGGAAATTGTGTTAGGAAGTTTTGTCCGGGTATTGACAAAGAGGAAGATTGTTAGGTCCCTAAGTCTTGTCAATTCCACGAACAAACTTGTGTAATCGAGTTGTAATTTCTGTGCTGTTTTGTGTTGCTCGCTCGAGCGAAGAAGGCCTCACTCGAGCGAAGGACTGCGTCTGGCTGCAAACCTGAAAGAGGTCATTGTGCGCTCGAGCGAAGCATTGGAGGCTCGAGCGAAGAACTGCATCTGCGTACAACCCTGAAAGAGTTTATTCCTCGCTCGAGCGAAGACTTTATGGCTCGAGCGAAGGTACTTATGGAAGTCACGCGAGATAAGCTTCTCGCTCGAGCGAGATAAGCTTCGCTCGAGCGAGCGTCAGCAATATCTGGGAAACTCATCATTGTGATGACGATCCACATCATAATCTCTGAGACGACGATGTGACCGCTTAATAAATTCACGATGTTTCCTACACAATTAAACTACTTGTAAAATGCACGATAATTATAGTTGGTATAAATACATTCACAATGAGACAAAGGTTGCATCTATCTTACTCTTGATATGGGACAACCGCAGCAATGTTAAATAACATATACCGATGAGCTTGTACCCATGTTGTGTTATCAAGCACAAACCCTTTTCCTTTTCCTAAAGTCTGCCCCATTAATATCTCAGGATTGTCACTAACATCGCAATTCCTTAATGGTCGATGCAATTTCGACTCAACATCATGCAAGTACCTTGAGCAAAATATCATACATTCTTCGACTAAGTATCCCTGTGCAATTGAACCTTCAGGATGACTTCGATTACGCATGTATGATTTAAGCGTCATAAGGTACCTATAATCAAAAAGATGCATACATGACTTCCAAGTATAAACAATCAAATATATACAAAATGGATATTGGAGTAGAATTACACACCTTTCTACAAAGTACATCCATCGATATTGCACCGGACCGGCAATCTTTGCTTCCTCAGCTAGGTGAATGGGTAAGTGCTCCATTATATCGAAAAATGATGGAGGAAAAATTCTCTCAAGATGGCAAAGTGTAAGAACAATTTGGGATTGAAGACGATCCAGACCATCCACCTCTAGGGTTTAGAGCACAATTGCCTGAAGAAATTGCTTAACTCAATTAATGGTTCAACCACTTTCTTCGGTAACAAATTTCTCACTGCTATTGGAAGTATTTGTTGCATGAGTATATGGTTATCATGACTTTTCAGTCCAGATATGCTCCGCTGTTTGAGGTTAACCCGACGAGAAATATTGGATGCGTAACCATCTGGAACTTTGATATTCTTTAGAAGTGTGCAGAATAGACTTTTCTCTCTATTGTTCATGGCAAAACATGCAGGAGGCAAATAATACTTGTTCCCAACCCTTTTCTGAGGATGTAGTGCCTTCCGAATTCCCATATCTTGCAAATCTCGGCGAGTATTTAAATTGTCCTTCCCTTTCCCATCAACATTTAATATCGTCCACAATACATTATCACACACGTTCTTTTCAATGTGCATCACATCAAGATTGTGGCGAATCAAATTATGCTTCCAATATGACAGCTCGAAGAAAATACTCTTCTTCTTCCAATTATGACCTGAGTCCTCATTTTCCTCCTTTTCTTTCCCCTTTCGATTCCGTTTGCTAGATTGTTGACGCTTAGAATTCAATTTGAACTTAGGGCCTAGTTGTTGTAGCACATTAGCCCCTGATAACCGAGTTGGACATGGTTCGAATTCACGAGTGCCATCAAAAGACGCACTAGCTTTCCGAAATTTGTGACCCTCATTCAACCAGCGACGATGCCCCATGTAACATAATTTCCTTCCGTTCTTCAAATATCGAGAACGAGTATGTGTGTTACAACAAGGACAAGCTAAAGCGCCTTTCGTGCTCCATCCAGACAAAATTGCATAGGCAGGAAAATCATTTATAGTCCACAATAACACATCATGCATTCGGAACATCTTATTAGTTTCCGTATCATACGTGTCAACACCGTTTTCCCACAGTTCTTTCAATTCATCCACTACAATCTGACAAGGCGTAAGTAGACGTCAATCGTATATTTCAAGTGAAGAAGGACCATGCGATGAG